AAAATGCAATTATTGCAAAGAAGACTGTGTTGATTCAGTTGACCGATTAAAAGACTATCTGGATTCTGGTTCGAATAATGTGCAATTAGATAAATCGGATGCGAATAGTATATTGTCAAAGTTTTTTAATTCCTTTTATGGCTGTTGAAAATCCTTTCTGGAAATAACTTATGAAAGTGGTAATATTTACAAGAAGATGCATGTATTGTAACCTTGTATTTCAAAACTAACGAATGTAAACCTAGTACAGAATAAAAGTTGTATTTGCTAATAGGCAATTATGCATTTAAAATCAATGGAAGTTATATTTGCGAATAGGTGAAATTATGCATTTAAACTCTTAAAACGATAAAATACATTAATATAAAAATCTTTCACGAAATCTTTTCCGTTTCAATCAAAAAGGAAATGTGGCAAGGCCCAAAACCAATGAGCAAGACGGCACATGCAGATCGCAGAGGAATAATCAAAAAAAAACAAATTCGCCTATAATACAGGAATGAAAAAATGTGGTGACTCTATGTGCTCTCGTTTATTTGAACTAAGCTTTTACAGAGCAAAATTTTAATATATTTTCTAAAGTTGTATTGCTACGTTATAATCATTTTGGGTACCATGAACTTTCATCATACGTAATGTCAAAATACCTGCGCTAATTTTTTAAGATAAATTTGAACAATGATACCTTCACATCCACCAGACCGAATTCGATGAAATTTTTTTTATTTGAATTCTATTAATCCATAGAATTTAAATAAAAATTTATCGATTTTGGTTTGGTAGTTGCGGAGATAACTTCGCTCAAAGTTTTAAAAAAATTGACGTAGCTTGTTTTTTGATAAATGGTTTGATTTTGTTCTAATTTTGAGCGAGGATATCTCCACAACCACCAGACCAAATTCGATGCATTTTTTTTATTTAGGTTCTATGGATCCATAGAATTTAAATAAAAAAAAATTCAAAGAATTTGGTTTGGTGGTCGTGGAGAAATCTTTGCTCAATTTTATTTTAAAAAAATAGTGCAGCTTCAATTTTTAGACATTTTAATTTTCTCTAACACTGAGCAAAAATAACTTCATAACCACCAGACTTAATTTGATGAGGTTTTCTTATTGAACACTAAAGATTCATAGAATTCAAATAAAAAATTTCATCGAATTTGATCTTGTGGTTATGGAGGTATTGTTGCTCAAAAAATTGGCACAGCTTCTATTTAGATAGGCATTTTGATTTTTCTCTAACTTTGAGCAAAGATATCTTCACATCAACAAGACCAAATTCTATAATTTGGTTTTATTTAAATTCTATGAATTTACAGAATTCAAATAAAAAAAATTTTACGAATTTGGTTTTGTGGTTGTGGAGATCTTCGCTCAAATTGTTTTAAAAAAATTGACAGCTTCAATTTTGAGACGATTTGATTTTCTCTAACTTTGAGCGAAGATATCTCCACAACCACCTGAACAAATTCGATGAAAATTTTTTTATTTGAATTCTGCAGAAGCATAAAATTCAAATAAAAAAATTTTCGTCGAATTTGATCAGGTGGTTGTGGAGATATCTTCGCTCAATTGTTTTTTAAAAAATTGGAGCAATTTCTATTTAGATAGACGTTTTGATTTTCTCTAACTTTGATCGAAGATATCTCCACAACCAACAGACCAAATTCATTGAATTTTTTTACTTAAATTCTATGGGCTCATATAATTCAATTTAAAAATTTTTTATCGAATTAGGTCTGATGGTTGTGGAGATATCTTCGCTCAAATTTTTTTAAAAAAATTGGCGCAGCTTCTATTTAGACAGGCGTTATGATTTTTCTTTAACTTTGAGTGAAGATATATCTCCACAACCAATGGATCAAATTTAATGATTTTTTTTTATTTAAATTCTATGAATTCGAAGAATTCAAAATAATAATAATAATAATAATAATAATAAATTCATCAAATTTGATTAATTGATTCCCGAAATATTTTAAAATTTTTTATTTTTTTGTTCTAATAAAAAGTGGGTACTTTTTTTTTTGCCAATCACGGGTGAATCAAAAAAAATGGACCTGCGAATCAAAAGCGATGAATTTGCATATTAAAAAGATAAAAATAACTTTCAGATAGTTATTGTTAAAAAAAATTTTTTTTTAAAAATTTTTATTTTAATAAAAGTAGATTTGACATGAATTTATAAAATTTTAACAAGCAAATTTGTCTACTAAATTGGATGTTTTAAGGGATAATGGCCATATTTAGACCCTTTAGCTGTTATAAATGCATAAAAAACTAACTGAAATCGAAATAATGAGGAAATCAACCCTTTAACACAATTTGAAAAACTTCATAATCATCCACAAAAAAAGAGTCTGCTTCTGAATCCCTAATTTTCTTTTCATAAAATTTATGTGAATATCGCCATCTGGAGCCATCTTGAGATTCATTGGTCATACGCAAATCTTTAAAATTTGGTCCATGATGTGAACTTAATTTTATAACTGCTTTATTATAACGTTTTGCTTTACTAAATACGAAATTTTCTGTATTGTTAAGATCAAATTTGAATATGAAACCTTTTTTTGTAGAAATTTCTTTTTGTTCTGCCGGCGATTCCCAATTGTATGGGTTATATCCGCCTAAAACTTCATCCTCACCCTTAACTTTCAGAACAGTTAAGGTTGGCCCTTTATTGTCACATTTCTTATGAAACTCTGCTGGTGTAAACCCGTCTTTACTTTCTTTAAATAGCAGCTTAAAATCATAGACGGGATTTGTGACTTTAAATTTAAGTTTTGCAAGAAATTTCCTAAAAACTGTCCTAGAAACTTCATAAACCCATTCGGAAATAAGTTTTATGTGATCTGATTTTAATAAAGATTCGTGATGTATAAGGAGTTGGTCATTTAAATAAATTTCCGGTGGATTATAATTAATGTTAATTTTATTCGATTGTGCTTCTATAATTTCAAAATTTTTTTTCAGAAAAAGTCCATCTCCCAATTTTTCAAGCATCGTTTTGAGAGTTTCGAAAATATTTTGAATTTCGGGTCTTTTTTCAGGTTCCTCGTCCCAACAACGTTCGTACAATGTGATATATTCGTCCGGAGTGCCTTCTATTGGTCTCTCCCTCTCACCTTTAAATATTTGGTATACAGCTTCAGAGCCTGTATATTGTTGGAAAGGTGGACGACAACTATAAATTTCCCATAGAAGAACTCCAAGACTATAGATGTTAGATTTTTCATCACGATCGTGATTATGATTCTTTAGATACTGTGGGTCCATGTAAGCAGGTTCACAATCGCCTATAGAACCTAAAGAATTTATAGTTATAGTATTTGCAATATTTGCCTGCTCGGGTATGCCGAAAATAGATATCTTTACTTGGCGATTATGAAATAAGACATTTTTATAATCCTATAGAAAAAAAATTAAAATATTTAATCCAGCCCAATTGTATAATTCTACTAGAAATTCAAATCCAATCCTTACGAAATTTTTATAGACGATCCCATTTTTATGTAAATACGTAAGTCCAACCACGACTTCCAATGCAATATGTAATTTATCATTCATTGTGAGTTCACTAAAATGTTTTCTTAAATATTTTCTTAAATCGCCTCCATTTGCATATTGCCGGATTAAAGAATAGCGCTTATTAATATAATCTTCAGCTATTCCATAGAATTGATTAATATAAGGATGTCGGTGGTGCTTCGTGATTTCTGCCATACGTTTAATCTATAAAATAATAATAAAAATAAATTACTGTAATTTTATTTCGATACGTATGTAGTGCATCAGATTAAATTTTATATTTAGTTTCTCAGACTAAGGTGGGAATGTAAGGGTACAACATTTTGTAAAGTAAAAATACTTGGGACACTATAATCGGCCTCTAATCAGTATTATATTCACGGTTATTTTCTAAAACGCTTATTACATAGTTTAATTGATCTTTAATCTAATATAGTACCCACCCTAGTATGGTACTATGGTTGCCGTTCAGCTATTTAGAACGGCCCAAACCATATGACTCTAATAATCACATGCTTTGGGCTAGCTTTGACGACAATTATATATATAGTGCTCACTCCTATTGCAGTATCCTCCTTAACACTATATAGGTATAATTAAATGTTAAAATACCCCATTATAGTACTCAGATTTTTACTGCTGATTGTACTATAAGAAGTACGTAGTATTCGGATTTTTATTAAAAAGGAGTATGGCATTATACTGGTGGTATCTAATTCCGAAATATGATATATATTAACAGAATATTAATCTAACGCACATCGCATGTCCTGTTCAATAGAAAACAAGTCTTATTGTACAATTCTTACTTATGCAATTTTCTGCATCTTGTTGGGTCATTTCTAATATGTACGTATGTACGTGACATACAAAATTTGTTCACGGCTGTGGAAATGTTCAAATCGTGTATCATGTATTAGAAATGACCTAACAAGTGTAGAAATGGTTGGGTATTCGGGTAAGAAATATACAATAACAATGTGAGGTCATGTTATTAAAGATAATCGCTATTTATTCATAGCATATGCTGCGTCAAACCAGTGTCCAAAGGCCACTGTTATATCTCAGTGTCTTAGTGAATAATCAGTCATCATAAGCAAAATGAACAAAGATTTTCTAGATGCTTAAAAAATTTAAACGGATTATCAAACAGTGAAAATGGGCACATGCGCACGTATGAATTTGTGCCAGGCTTGTGGCGTAGATTTCCTGAACTATAACTCAGATTTCAAAAAAATATCGTGTAATTAAACACGATCTCTGAATTTAATACAAACATTCATTTTGTCAAAATTGAATATTCTCAAAAATCTGCACAAATATCACCTTTAGTGCCCTAACAAAAAGTTTTCCTTTTAGCGATTTTATTAAATAACAACTTAACCTCTAATATAAATCTGTGCTACAAACTAGCATAGATTCATACGTGCATACGTGCTTTATGGCATGACTTCAAAAGGCCATATAAAATGTTTAAAACGTTTCCATTGAACAGATATGATATATATTAAAATTTATAATAACTTCTTGAATGTATTGTCGGACTGTCGCTTCATTAACGTTTGAGTCAACCTTTAGATTATTTAAAATAGTCTTTTCACCGAGACTCTTACTATAAGCAGTTTCAGATTGTCCAGATCCACTCTCGTTAAAGCGAAATTCATTATAGTCATAAACGTCAACGCTGAATTCTTTGATAATTTTTTCAATTAATAAATAATGTTTTGTAATGGGTTCGTATTCGCCTATACATGTAAGAAATGAAATTTCATTTTCATAAGTTCAAAGTACTATCAACTACCTATATACCTTTATGGTTTCAGTACACCTAAAGTTATCAACAATTTTACCGTACCTTTAGATGTAATTTGCTCGTTGTATAACTTAACATGTTCAACATAGTTTGTGATGTTCTCAGCAGATATTTCTTTAGATAGTTTCTTAAGCACGTTTAAAATTTCTTTCAATGTCGGACGCTCGTCAGAATGAGAAGACCAGCATTTTTTATATAGTTCTGCATATTTTGAGGGTGTGTTTTCCACAGTTTCTTCCCTTCTACCATTCGAAATTTCTATAATTGCAGCTACTACAGGAAGTTTGTTAAATGGAGGAACTCCGCTTGTGAGCTCCCAAAATAGCACGCCCAAACTGTATATGTCAGATTTCATATCATGGGCTTCTATTTTATTTTTAATGCATCGACAATCAATATATGGTGACATGCCAGTTAGCCTTGAACTCAAAGTGGGAGAATCATTTAAGCATTTGGCTATCCCGAAGTCTGCGATCAATACTTCATTATCACCAATTATTAAAATGTTTTGAGAATGCTACAAGAATGATATGTTATAATAAATTATAGTAGCAGCAGTACAGTACGACGTTACGGTAAGTTACCAAAAATGGAGGGTAGGCTAAAGCGAGGTGAATTTTCGATGATCGACAGACGATCGACCAATCAATTTGATCAACCCGACGAAACAAAACAAAGCGAAAAGAAAGAAAAATACGAAAAATACAAAAAATGGCGCATTAATAAAAATGCCGGGGAAGCAATAGCCCTAACGTTTAATTAAATAAACGTTAAATTAGATTTTCAAAATTCACTCCGCTTTAGCCGATCTCCAGTACTTATCAAAATTACCAATAAAGTGGATAGTCATCTATTATTGGAATTTCCGAACTTCTAAAGCTGGTATTAGAAATAATCGGTAACTTACCATAACTTACCACTGAAACTCACGGTAGGTAACCATAACAACCATGGCTATGAATTTAACTTACCAAATCTCGGTGAATGATGTCCTTATCATGCAAGTATTTCAATCCACTGGCAATCTGCGTTGCTATGTCAAAAACTTCAGCACACGAAATTTCATATATTCCATTTTTCTGTTTCTTTTTCAAATGATCCCGAAGGTTGCCGTTATCAGCAAACTGCAATACTAACATAAAATTACCCGTTTCATGATCTAAATTATGTTAAATGGGTATAGTTTATTTCTTCACTTAAATGTAATTTTAGTATTCAAGGAGAATTTTTATCATACTTCTTGAAGTTCCGAAAAATCTAATAACATTAGAATGATTAACACTGCCGAGAATGTTAATCTTATCGTATCATTTAATGTTTATTAGCTTCATTAGCTTCATTAACTTCATCTAGTAAAATAAATAAATAAATAAAATTGAATAGGTACCTCTCGAATGAGTTTTTTAAATGATTTTTCATCAAAATGCAAATAATTGTCTAGACTTTTTAATGCATATGTCTTTCCGCCAAAAGTAGCTGAGTATATAATTGCAGATGCACCTTTGCCGATGATTTTCTTATTATTAAATTTAGGATAATCGAAATTATCTATTTTGTATTTTATCAAACTCCTTTCTAACTCTTCTGAATATTCTGACACTATAATTGTAGGTGTTAATACCTGTATATTTAAGTTTCTTATAAGTAATACAGTACTTACATGTCTTCTGTGGGATTTGTAAGTGTCCTTTATCATTATTATCTTCCGAACTCATTCTTAAAAATGATAATGTACCGCATGTGTGTGTGAGTTTTAAAGTTTATTTCGAACTGTTCTTTTTCATATAAATACAAACTCCGCGTGTACTACGCTACGTACTACAGTCACAATCCAAATTTAGTGAACTGAATAGATGCGTCACGATAGACCTTTTATATAACTCGGTCGCTCCACAACATCATCTGTTCAACCTTCTTATTTAATACTTTTTTGAAAGAGTAATAAATTTATTCAGTATTTAAGGTTATTCAACTTTCCAGTTACGTACGTACGTACAGTACATACATACATACGTACTATTATGTTCGTCAAATGTTATAACAAATACCTATACATCTGTATTTGTATATGACCAGGAATTTGAGTCGATACTTGGTTCTGTTCACAAAATCCTTTAGAAGGCATTTTTAATAATCGTTTTACATGCTGTGTGACGTACGTACTATAACATGCAAAACTGGTTTCGGACTTATTTCTGCGAGTAATACAAACTAAAAAAAAGGATTTCTCTTTGTCTTTTATGAATACAAATATATACTCTATTTAAATATTAAATAAATTCTTTTAAATTATAAAAATTTTCCTAAATGAAGAACTTTAAGAATATTTACGAGCTTTAAAAAATGCTTTAAACCTTAAACATTGTTCCTCGTACCGTATTTTCGCAGAATAACGCCAATGAGCGTTATTTTGAATTTTTGCCCGAATTAAGCCAGATTGAAATTCTCCCTGCGCGTTATTCAGCGAAAATACGGTAACCGAATATTTCCATTATTATTATTATTTTGTGTAAATCACGTGAATCTGCAACTTTACTGAATAGGTATATCATAGGACCCCGGATAATTCTAAAAAAGGGGGAGCCTAAAGCGGAGTAGATTCTTATAATATGGTGCCAGAAGCTTTAAATCTCTATAAAAAATAGCTTTACAAAAAATACTACTCCTCTTTTAAAAATTT